CATACATACATACATACATACATAGGGTGGATGTGCAGTAGTAGCAGCAAGCAGGTGAATTCTGTACATTAATATGAATAGACATCTGACTATTTTACAGAATAGACAATATACACATATTTTATACTTTACTGATTCAAGCTGAGTACCTTTGTTAATGTGGTGGCGCGAAGGAGGATAACCAGTTAAGGAGACCACAGGATGTTGACAACGCCACCTGGGGAGGGAGTTACACCCCAGGAAAGATTTTTATAGCCAATGTAAATGTTACACTAGCTACCAAAGCCCACAGGCTCGTTATTAATAGCAGAGGTGAGGCTGATCAATTTTACAAATCAAAATTTATTAAGGAAAACTACTAAAAACACAGAACTGTAAAATCAGAAAGGTTCTTAAGGTAACAGGGCTGAGCCTGCAAGACTGTTAATTAGAACACTTTATTAACAAACAATGATTAACATGAACAGGCTCGCTGTCACGATGCTACCTTAGAACAATAACAGCTCAATAAAATAACTAAACAAATAGTGGAGAACGACCAGTTGAGGAGGCAACCTACAGAGAGGAGTGCCCAAGGGTGCCATCAATTACTGACCCGTATAGTTCCACTGCAAACCTCACTGTCACTCACACTGAAATCTAAATGGTGCAGTCTACCTATGCCCGGTGTGTACACTCTCACGCATCGGGGAGGGGATTCCACCTCACGTGCCTAGCCCCTCAACAAGCGGCACCTCCACTAAAGCAACAAAACAAAGCATAAAACGTTAAACAAATTAATAAAAGAGATAAATAAAACAAACACACCCTAAGATACAGTTCTTTATAAACGCAAGATTAAAATATATCAAACAATTCCGAGTAAAAGACTATAAAACCAGGAGTCAGTCAAGGCCAGTCCATAAGATGACAACAGGCCACAACAAGACAGAATAAAAGCGAACAAGACAGAACAAGACAGCAGCAGTATGGCACAATCCTGTAACAAAAGAGGGAAACAGTCGTCAAGTTCCACCCTACTATATGTCACATTATAACAAACGCAAGAGTCCCACTTAACACTCTCTAAGGCAAGGGCGTCGATTTGGCATGGACGGAAGGGACATGTCCCCACCAATATCCAGCGATTATTGAATTGTCCCCAATAATAATTTGATCTCTTCGGGTAAAGAAAATCAAGACTGATAGAAAGAAAAGAAAAACGATCTGTCAACGTCTCATTCACCCAGCGGTGCAGAAAGAGTTAAATTACGTTCTCTACTGGAGTCCTACCTCATGTGACAAATATGGCCAATGTGATTGGCTGTGCCTTTCAGAGAGCTCTGTTTAGTTTTAGCAGCGGCAAGCCTGCGCTGCGAGGCCCTGCAAGGAGGAGAGGAGGACGGCAGCAAAAAGGAAGAACCTGGATATAAGGAAGTATTTTTCAAAGAAACCTGTAAGTTTCTTAATGTCAAGTTCACTCATATAATGTGTCCGTCATAATAATGTTACAGGCTATATAGGCTTTGGCCCACATCAGTCTAAAATTGTATGTAACCATAAATAACGTGTTTTGGAAACTAACTGCACAACAGGCAGCACTATTAGTTATCTCAGTCTCAGAGTAGCATTTCTAATTTTGATTGAAACTGTCAGAGAAAACGGCAGCCTCGAGCAGGCCAGGATATTAGTTTACAGAGGCTGTTAAAAATATATGTCTAACATTAAAATGTTGGTGACACAATAATTTCATCCTAATGGTACTGACATATTCATAGGGTTCATTTCTGAGACAAAATGTAATGAGGTAGTCATGATTTTGCAAATATTCCACCTTGTAGTGCAGTTTGCACAAATTGTTTTAAAAATTCACTCACCCTACGAACATTACTGATGAGTCAAGATCTTCACAAATTGACAGAAACACTGAAGCAGCTACACATTTTATTCTTATTGTCATGTATGTCTTATTTGTCAGGTGACAGAAGAACCAACACAAAGTTCAGAGAGCAATGGTGATACAAGATCACAGGTGAAACTGGATGATGACTTGTTGGTTCATGACTGTATTTGAAGCACATGTGTGACTGCATGTATTTGGAATTTCTCATTGTTATTTATCAGGTGACAGAGGCAGCTCTGCCATGTTGTAGCTCGGACAGAGGTGAAGAGGCAAGGTCACAGGTGAGTGACTAATGTTTTGGTGCTATAGATTAACTAGTATTTATTATCATGACAGTTGTTAGGCTGCTGATGTAAATTGATTCATTAGTGTATATTTGGCAAAGAATCTGAATTGACATGTCTCACTTTTTATATGGCACGAATCAATGTGTTATTTTATCAGGTGGCAATATGTCCTAGTGCAGTCAGAGGGGAAGAGCCAGGGCCAAAGGTGAGGAACATCAAGCACAGAATAATAATTGTAATCTGAGGATAAAACACATGTACTGAGGCTGAAAGAAGCTTCAGTGCTCTCAGAAGACTAAAAAGTTGGGTAACGTTAACAATGACTCAAATGAGATTAAAGAATGCTGCTGTATGTCCACCAGGAGAGACTGGACAGTATAGATGTAAAAAAAAAATATGCCAGCAGTTTATCTCAGTTAACGAGAGGAGAAGGCATGTGTTTGGCTCCTTCACATAGTTGACATTGAGTTGTTGTGTGGGACACCAGTAGTCCATGTCTGTTGCTGTAACAGTAGTTCATGTTTAGAATAAAAAATCCCAGCTCACTGATTTGATAGCGGCAATAGTGCCTAAACTGTTGCATAATTTTGCTGAGAGATCTTTTACTTTGTGGTAATCTTAGATGAGTAGTTTTATGGACAAAAACCACCAGGTCATTCAGTGTCCCCTTAGTGCTAATGTATCAGAGATGTTGGTGTACTATAACTGAGTAATGTTGTTAAGTCCTTAAAGTCATATTCTTTTATTGTCATGACTGTATTTGAAGCTATTTTTATTTTTATATGATACCTGATTTATATGGAATATAGCTGAAGTAAACTAAATCCAAAAAATACTTAGTCATTTGTTTAATAGTAATTTAACATTATATAATTCACATATAAAACTATGAATTGTGATTTTAAATGGTTTAAAAGCATGTAGAATAGCATATGTAGGCAAGTATATTTCTCCTCTTTTTATTACGAAGCAAAAAAAAAAAGAAACAGGGCAGGGTTGAATCATACGTCCCCACCAGTGCCAAAACCAAATCTACGCCCTTGCTCTAAGGGCAATACTAGAATGAGCAGCTTTCCTGAAGAAATCAAACCGCTCTGCAATGCTTAACCACTCAACGCTCTTGGCCACCTTAGATGGAAAAGACTGCCAAATGCCTCCGTGCATAGTGAAGCGCAGCTGTTTCTTATCAGGCCGCTAATTATCAGCTGGGAAGGTGTGGATGTCAGTGCTGCATTCGCGGACATCGCGTAAAATCCTTCCCAAAATCTACTTCACTACATTAAAATTAAATTTTAGACTTAAATAAACTCAGTATTCCTATTTTCTTTTTCACTTTCAGAAGTTGAATTAATCAATCAGAATCAGCGTACTTTATTAATCCCTAAGGAAAATATGTGGGTTACAGTTGCTCCAGTATAAATAACAGTAACAGAAACAGACTACACTATTTAACAATAGCATATGTTACACATTTAAGACATTTAAGCAATGGCCCAATATATATATAGATCACTCAATAATAAATATCAAGGATTGACAGAGTTGATTATAAATAAATATCAAGAACGTTAACAGGATTATTACAGAGTAGAAAAGAGCATGTGCAAAAAGGATGTAACTGTTGCAGTGTTTACAGTGTATCAGATGGAGGAGTTTTACAGGAAGATGGCCACGGGCAGTGGGCCTTTTTAGTACTTTAATTAGTGTTTTAATCTTTACTGGAGTATTTTTTAACACTTGTATCCATACTTCCACTAATGTACAGAATGTCTATACTTTTCCCATCAATGGCCATATCCCACTTTAATCCTCTGAGCTACACTGGCAGAACGCCATGACATGCAAATGCTGTTCCTGGAAAGTTGGGGAATGGGGACACTCTAATAAAGTAAATGATACATTTTGGCACATTCAGAACAGTCCCACGGTTTAAAAAAACACAAATATATACTTGTGAAGTGTTTTCTAATTCTGTTTCATTTGTGGGATTTTACATTCACCTGTACTCAGACACGGAATTAAGAAACTTGATGAGCACATTTTGCTTAGTACTGTAAAAACAGGACAGCTTCCATAAATCATCAAACACTATTTTTATTTTGAACACAACAACACTTCCCCATAATTTGCATTTTCAGATCTCGAATCGAATGAGCTACCCATTCGGGCTTCAGTCACCGCTGTGTCAGGATGGACTCGATGATCATCAACAACACAAACTCATGCACGGCTTACTCCTCGGTGCAGTGGGACATGTATCCAACGGTGTACTCTCTTTTTTTTAGTGTGGGCTTTCCAGCCAACTGCCTGTCTCTGTATGTGGCCTGGATGCTGATGAAGAAGGGGAACAGCATGGCAGTCTATCTTGTCAGCCTGTCCATTTCTGACCTACTATACACAGTCACTCTGCCTATTTGGATAGTACAGGCCATGAAGCAACACATAGGTGATGAACTTTGCAACCTCATGGCTGTAATCATGTACAACAGCTTTTTTGTTGGTTCTGGTCTCCTTTGCTGCATCTGTGCTGATCGCTATCTGGCAGTGGTCTACCCACTCCACTTTAACTGGATCAGGGAGGTGAGGACAGCAGTGCTTGTGAGTATAGCTGTCTGGGCTTTGGAGATTGCCATCCACATTGTCTTACTTCACCACATGGGGGCGCTGCAAGCTTCAAGATACTTGTGTGATCAGCAGATACCCATGACACAAGAAGATGCCGCTGTTGCCCTTACAAGGTTCGCCTTGAGTTTCTTGGTTCCTACCTTCATCATGACTTTTTGCTATCATAACATCATGCGCTCTATCAAACGTAACACCTCCATCCAAGTGGAAGAGCGCAGGAAAGTGGAATGGCTGTTGTTGCTACTCCTTCTAACCTACATCGTGTCTTTTATGCCCTACCAGTTGGTCATGCTGCTCAGGGCTATACTGGAGCCTGGGACCTGCGTCTGGGCAACTAGGCTCAAAAGTGCATTCATGGTGACAGTTGCCACCACAACGCTAAACAGTACACTGGATCCTATAATATACTGTCTAATCAATGAGAGCGCAAAGACAGAGATTAAGAAAACTGCACAAAATGTGAGGCGCCTTTTTATGCGTGGAAAGCACAGTGATAGCTCTGTTTAAATGATTTCTTTCCCCTTCTTTAAACATAAAATGTAAATATAATGAAAATCTAATTATTATTTGGGGCTCTGCAACCTATATGTAACCTACACGTGAACTAAGTTTAGGCATATTATTATTTTTTTTTTTTTATTTCTTATGAATATTTGTCTTTAATGTGATGTTTAATTTTAACTGTGATTTGTGTAATTTGAAATATTTGGCTGTGATGTTAATGGTTTCATTTTGATCCAGTGTTCAGTATAATTGTGTATCACTGCACTTGAATATTTGAGTGCAGTTTTGCACAAAGAGAAGCACACTGTGGAATTTTCCTACTAACCACTTGTATCTATAACACTTGACAGCTATTCATGCTTCCATGAGATACTAATAAATAAAAGCACTTGTTCTTTTAGAGCGTGCAGTCATTGAAACAAAACCATAAAGCCATATCTGCGCTGTTCAAACAACGAGCTGAAAAGACATCTGTCACTTTATGGGACGATTATTGGCATCACCTCTACCTGAGTTCATGTCTGTTGACACGCCAAACAGAGACACACACTTTCATATGGGCTTAAATTAAAATCACCTGGTCCTGTAGTTTGTTTTGTCATGTCCTGTCACCCAGTAAGTGATACAGTTGTTAAGGATAAAATGTAGCAACTGCTGACCCTTCCTCTTCTTTCTAGCAGATCGATTAAGCGGTGCAGACGAAGAAACAGAATACGTCAGCCTTTCATCTGTTTTATTGGTTTTATTCTAAGAATTTATAGAAATTTGAGTGGAAATACAACTTGATACAGAGTAAGTAGAACTTTGTTAATATGACTTTATGGTTTAAAGGAATACTATAAAAAATATATATAACTAGCCCTATCAAATAATTCCATTGCAATAAAAATGTGACCTTAGGATTTTCTATTATGTTGCAATTTCAATAAAATATAACTGAGAATTTAGAGTACTTAGGAAAAGTTGTATTTGCAACTTTTCACATGTTTTTCGTGGTAGACAGTATAATGTAATATAATATAATGTAACTGTGAGGAAAAGTGAAACACAGTGCCAGTGTAGCAAGCTTGTTCATTTTCATAATTTGAATCTGAAATAGCACACAACCAAAGCCTAAACAAATCTTGTAACACTGACAGAAAATTGTTTTACAGTAAGGTACTTGGTGAAACGTGATAACAGGGAAACAGACACGAATGAGTCTGTTACAGGGGAATTGACATAGGAAAAAAAAAAACTCTAAAGCAACCAGAAACTGAGAACAAGACTAAACGGGAAAATATATATAGAACAATATAAACAAAAATAAATGGTAACTAAGGAAATAGTGGGGTCGGAGCAAATAAAGCAAACTAAGAGCAAATAGAAAATATTTAAATATAACAAAACTAAAAACTCCATGAACTCAAAACACTGGGTAAACAACCTAATGCTGCAAAGGCGAGACTATTGTAACAATTTAATTGCACTTGCATAAGGTTGACTCACACTCATGCTGAATGTCAAATTAATCCGCACAATTGAAACATTCTGCCTTTTAATCTTAAACAACCAAAACAAAAGGGCTTACACTCAACAGCATCTTTCAACTATTCTTTCTAAGAAGTAAATTTTCCTCTTTTTAAAAAAAATAGTGCATAGGTAGAGTTCTCCATTTCCACTTTCCATTGATAATTTGTAGTCCCCAGTGGTGTCAGACTTGAAAACTTTAAAAAGTCCTTTCATGAGTTGAGATGTAGTCACGTGGCAGGTTTGTGAACTTGGTAGAGACTCTTACAGGTATTATATATTTACATCCATTCATGTATTGCTTCCTTATTTTTCTACAAGGTGTAAGCATATGAACACAACGTCTACAATGGAAAACTCAACCTTGACCAGTAATCATTCAGAATGTAACCTGGACGACGACGCAGCCAGGAGAAGTTCATTTCTGTTGTTCTACATGGCTGTCGTCGCCATCGCCATCCCTTCCAACACCTTCTTCCTCTACGTGTCCTGGCAGCACATTAGAAGGAGGAACGAGCTCGGTGTGTATCTGTTCAGTCTGGCTCTGAGTGACCTAACCTTCACTGTTTGTTTTATTCTCTGGTTGGACTTCCTGTGGCGAGGAGTTTGGATCCATGGGCGTTATGTTTGTGTGCTGTCCATATACATTCTCTTCACCAACTTCTACACCAGCGAAGCTCTCCTCTGCTGCATTGCGGTTGACCGCTACTTAGCAGTGGTTCACCCATTAAAGTGCAGATGGTGGAGGAAAGTTAGCACTGCAGCAGCAGTCACTGTTACCATTTGGTTGTTGGTGGTTTGTTTCAACACCAGCACCATCTCCTGGGAGGACTCATACCATGAAAAGAAAAACTTTTCAGTGTGCTTTGACATTTTTAGTCCGCTGTCAGTGACTCTCCTCCGGGCTAATGTAATGCGCTTCTTTCTGGGGTTTATTATTCCAGTTCTCCTAGTGTTCTTTTCCACCTGGAGGATTTGCACAGCTGTAAAATCCAATCAGGCCACTGACAAGCAGGAACAAAAGCGGATTTTAAAGCTATTAACATTGGTTCTTCTTGGCCTTTTGTTCTGCTTCGGACCTATTCATGTCATGATGCTTCTTCGCATACTGGTTAATGACTGCAGGAACATTGCATGGATCCTCTATCCCTACAAGATCAGCGTTGCCCTATCAAGCCTTAACTGTCTTGCTGATCCACTGCTTTACTGCTTCATTACTAGCACAGGACAGGCATGTGCCAGTCAGATTGTCCTCTTTTTGCAGGAAAAGAGGAGAGGAATTCTGTCACCTATTTAACCATATTGTGGCATATAAAACTTTTTGTCAGTAAGATCATGCAAAAAAAAATACCAAGCAGAATTTCACTGAACTTTGTGGATTGGTGGAGCATGGCCAAACAATAACAAGAAAGGCACTCAGAGAGCACATCTTTTGTGAAGTTCAGTGCAGTTTTGCAGTTTTAGAGGAAATGATCTGGAGCTTTTTTTTTTTATTATCCCATAACTTATATTTCATAAAACTAATGAAATGTTTGCTCTTTACTTTAATAAAACTCAGTGACTACTCAGTGCAAATGGTTACATTGTTTTGATCGCACCTTCTGATTTTCATTAAAATCATAAAAATCCTTATCAGTGACTTACTACTTCCGTGAGTGCACAACAAGACTGGAAAAGAGATATTTAAATGCCTGTGTTTATTTGCAACTGCTGATCTGATTTTGTCTCTTATCAGCGAGTTACTGGTCGGAGTGGTTTCACTTCAGCTTTTTAGTCACGTTGTTTGTATTTTCTGTCAGACAACTGTCTGGGTCAGGTGCCATGTGGAAAGAACATTTGCATTTAACAAACCAAAATAAATTTGCTCTTTCCATCACCACGCACACAACATTATGATGTAAAATGATTATTTTTCAAATAATGCACTTTTCTCAATTGTCAGAGTAAATGTTATATTCATTTTTGCACTCTTAAACTTTAACTGAAAGCAGTGTAAATAAAAGAACTTTGTGAAGTAGTTGTCAGTGTTTGTTCTCATTTAGCATCCTAGTCTCTGGCAGATTTGCTGGTATCCATATGGGAGTTGAGTCATCTTAATGTGAGCATGAAAACTTAGAAAGAAAAAAGAAGAAGTGCAGCTCCCCCAAGTGCAGCTCCCCCAAATGACCGCTTGAGTTCTTAACCAACAGTGAGTCGGTATCCATGGACTCCCATTTTAAAAGATAAGCTTTGCAGCATTGTGCTTTTTGGAGAATTTGCACTGTTGTTATCTCACAAATAATTTGGCATGATATGCAGTTCATTGTCCTGACAGCTCATCCAAGAAGTCTGTGCTCATGTGTTGGTGAGTGAAATTCTCCTACTTCACTTGTGTGTTTCAGAAAACTTCAGAAAAACAAGATTGTGATGGTGATAATCCACATGTCTACAGACAAATCTTTAAAAAAAAATGATGGTAAGTGTTGTTCAAAAGAAAGAAAAGAAAATTATAAAAACTCAAAGGTGCTCGGTGGGAAGGCTTTGCTTTTTTTTTCCCCACATGTATTTAAAGTGACACACTCCTCAGGTTGCTGTTACACAACAACAAAGCTGTAAAGTGCATGTGCTCCACCTGAGTGTTCTTTTTGCCTCTTTTTTTCCATCCAGACTATCAGATAAGCATCGCCTATCACTGAATAGCCTTCACCTTCAGTTCCCCTTGACTCTGTAACAGACTGGCATCTTTATAAGTGAAGTAAGCACATCAGAGAAGACAAGTACCTCTGGATCAATAGGTTTTGTTAGTGAAGCCCTACCTCTGCCTGGATGTTGGCAGCGTTTCAGCAGTGGCACGTGTCAGACAGCCTGCTCTCTCAGGAATGATGGATAAATGAGGCTGTAAATTGCACTGGTGGTCTGACTGTACAAAAATGTAACAGGGTGAAGCAGTGCAAACTGAGATATGGTGCTGCAATGAAGACCGCTGACAGCTTGGCTTAAATTGCTCCCATTATGTGAGGGTCCACCTTTCTGGCATTTGGAAAGCTAGCATTGAATCAGTGTGTCGGGAAGTATAACTACACTTTGACCAATCCTAGCGCTGGAAGCTGTGGCTTGCAGGTGTACTATGGGAGTACTCAGGGTAATATATACATGCACATGCACTCTATCCTATTCTATTCTGAGATAGGTCTCCTTTTTTGTGGTTACTCTTTTTCTTGGTACTTATTTAGACCATTAATTAGTAAAATCAGTTACCCCTAATTAGTCCGTCTTTCTCAGACACATTTTCTTCAAAGCTACAGAAATAAAATTGAACTGAAATGAATTTTTCACTTAAAAATGTGACCTCACTCTCAGTTTGATATGAGCCCCCCTGACATGACCTCACAGACTCGTGCTTCATTAGCTGATAAAGTGTTTTTTTCTTGTGTTGGGTTTTTTTTAACCCAAGCAGAAGAATTTTTTTTTTTTGTTTGGTCTGTGTCTTGTGCTTTCTAACAAATAAATTTCTG